CACATTTTTGTTCTGTTGTTCTGTCTATTGTTCTGAAGAAAGATAAACATGGATGTAATTACTTTAGAAAGACGGCAGTTTTCACACTGAGATTGGTAGGAAAAAAAGCGCTTTTCATTTTTTTTCCCTCCAAAGTTTGCATGCCTGTAACTCATGAAGTATTAGAGATATGTTAATGCCCTTTTAGACATTGGGTTTTTCCTTTTGGCATCTTCATTTTTAAGGCCCTATATGGTTCAGTTCCAGAGATATTGGAATTTCCATATGGCTCCAGGAGTAAATCGTTAAATTGTACATATTTTCAGTGGTCAAAGACCAAATGAGGGTCACTTTGCATATATAATACTTATTTTCTTTTAAAGAGGGAGGTCTGAAGAACAAAATGTTGAAACTAGAGATGTATCTTGTTTCCTTCTGTCAAAACAACTGTATTGAACATACCTGCCTGAGTGCAATAAATATTATTTTCAGTTTGCGTGCCTATAACTCAAGAAGTATCAAAGATATCACAATATTAGATTCTAGTTCTTAATAAACGTTTCTTTTGGAATCTTCATTTTCAAGGCCCTATATATCATTCAGTCCCAGAGACATGGTTTGCTAGAACCACATGTACTTATCACATCATCAAACACAATGTAAATAAAATTGGCCAAAATTGTCAACAGTCAAACATGTAACCATTTTATCAACCCAGAGCATTTTGGGAAGAGGGCGAATGGGACTGAAGCACCATAACTATAATAATCAAGCAAATGTTTGCATTGTTTACTTGATCTAAGACTCCTTTTTTACCATAAAGCAGGCCCAGGCTCAGGGATACAGAAGCACATTTGAAAGAGTTAGCAAGCTGGATGTGTTTTTCATGTTCGCCCACACGTCACGTGGCCAAGAGTCACGACCCACGAGCCACGATATGCAAATGCAATTAGAGCATCTTTATCTCTTCAGAGAGCCACAGATGAGAGAAAGGGAGGGAGGGAGGAGCGAGGAACTGAGAGAAAGAGAGAGAGAGTCTGACTTGACCTGCCGTAGATCCTCATCGCCTGTCTGCGACTCAAGAGGAGAATACAAATGTTACTACATTAACCCGCTCCCGCAGAGAAACGACAGACAAGAGAGAAGAAGAAAGGCTAGGAAGAAAGGGAGAGAAAATGAGGGAAAAATGGCTTTTCTTTGTAGTAAATCATATCTCAAATGAATGCTAATTTAGAGGAAGTGATAGAAGTGGTAATTGTTCTTTTCAGCTGTGGGGGCTCGGGCTCTTTAGAGCCGCACCTTTGATGGACTGCCATGTCAGCAGTGCATTGTGGGTACCAAATAGGCTAACCCCAGTGCACTTTGCTTCCTGTTGCGGTTTATGTGAGCATCTTTGTAAAACACCGTTCGCTTCGGCACCGGTACAAGTGTTTGATAAAGAACTTGCAGAAAAAGATCTGCAAATCATTGTCACTGGAGATTAATAATTCAACAGTGTATGTGCTGAAAGCTAAAGCTAACTGCATATTATAAGCATTATATTAACATGTTACATGAATATCAAAAGGTCAATAAAAGTGTTTACACGACAAATAGCAAAGACTGTGATAATATAATCTAGCTCTTAGTCATCGCCATCATGCTTGACATGAGATACAGTATCTAACACAGATGCTAAATATATTTCGTTAGCAGAAATACGTATACATATCCATGCCTCAAACTCATTGTACTTTAAAGTGAAATGTAAAGATGTATCGTTATTTTAAAGAGAGATGTTTTTAATTTATCATTAAGTCCTCTACACCAGTGCTAATTCAGCTCACACTCAGCCCTGTTAATGAACATTATTAGCCATGTTAACTCCAGCCACATTACTGTTCTGTGAATTATTCTTTCATCTTATCTCATCTTATCTCATCTTACTAATTATCTCATTTTATAAACAAACTAATATGCAACACAATTAAATGCTTCAGAGTTCTCATGGGAGTTGGGGATTTTTATTCAATATATTAAATAAGTAGGGTGGGCAACTGGATGTCTAACTTCTACTGATGAGAATGAAATACTGTACTAAAATACTCTGACTGTAGTTCCTGCATGTATTGTCTTATCTAAAATAAATGAATAAATAAACAATGCTTTAGTTGAAAGCTTGCAGTCTGAATTGAACACAAAAAGAGTTCTATTGTTTTACCCTCACCAAATACATGTAAAAATCATGCAACACAACCATTGAGGTCTGAATAATGAATGTATGACTCATTTAAACAATTGAAATGTTCTTTTCCTGACTCACAAATAAGTCTCAAACTCACTGGTCACAGACAACTTACTAACTCAATGAATCAACTTAATGAAGTTATTACATTAGCTGTTTCCATCACCCTATTTTAATGTGCATTTTGAAGTGTCGCATGAGAAGCGAGTGATGGAAACGCCAAATTTCGAATAATTCCTTAATTCGCAAAAAAGTTAGTACGATCGCTTGAGGTGGTTTTTGACTTGTGCAAAAAAGGGTTGATGTGAATAATGGGAGATGGAAATGCATTTTGTGAATAAATTCCTCCAAGCGCATCGGAAACGCCAAATTTCGAATAAAAATTCCTTAATTCACAAAAAAGTTTTTACGATCGCTTGAGGTGGTTTTTGACTTGTGCAAAAAAGGGTTGATGCGAATAATGGGAGATGGAAATGCATTTTGTGAATAAATTCCTCCAAGCTCATCAAAAAAGTCATGTGACTTTGCGCTATGGGACGGCAAAACCTCGTGAGTGTAGCATGGGCCCGACAGACATCTTATTCAAAGCATGTACGGCAGACACAGAAAGCTATAAAATAATTATAGCCATACTAGTGGGATTCATTGTCCTTATAGCGCAGCCGCTGAGAATAAGAAACGTCAAAGGCAGGCGATCGCTCGCTTGAACTTGTGGCCTCGTAACAAATTCTGTTGGCATAAGATGCGCAGGGGGATGCCGGGGGGCTACGCCAAAGGACCACAAATGAACTTATCATCTAAGCTCTTATCTCATTTTATACACTGGGCTTGTATTCACTACACGGCTGAATTAAATTTCTAGTGGAAAAGCCAGAGGAAGTAATCGTGGCCACAGAGTCAATCTAATCATTCACAGATTGCATTAACATTCCTCCACTGGTAATTACAGGCTAATATATCATATGACGGAAATCAGATGGTAAACATGTGCAAGCTGGGCGTTTGAAACTTCTAGATATAAATGATTGAATAACAGAATGTGTGTTGTGATGAAAAAGGCACACTTCTGTTGCAGTCACGTATTGAACTTTGGATGGAAACCCGGCTATTGAAATCTCACTTGACTCACTGAACTACAAGACATTACTTTTAGCATATCTCAAAGATTCTAATCTTTTTTTTTTTGCATACTGTAAAATATTTACTTGAATTTAGGTTAACATTTAAAATTAATGCATTTGCATACTCGTGGTTCTCTGATGTTGGTTAATGATGGCATGACCTGCAAGTAAACAAATGACATATTTAATATATTTTTTAATACATGCTTTATTTTGGTGGTTTTTATTTTTAAATTATTTTTATTTTGTTAAATAATTAAAACTTGTCGAAGCTTTATATCCAGTCAGGAACCCCCTGCAGTCCCCTAAAATAAATAAATCAATTAAACTTATAAAGTATAATTGGTTGTTCATATTACAATAGTAAAATGTATATGTTCAGAATAGAGTCTTGCTGTAATAAATTCCATACAAATTCAGCTTCATATTGACCAGCTTTGTTGCTTTCACTAAAGCTTAACCAGAATCCAAACTGAAATATTGTACTTATAATTTCCAAATTAGGTGACATAACTCAAAGCATTCTACTATAAATATGTAATTCCAGAGCATTCTCAGGTTCACCCCATGTGACCTTGATTTCATGGAAGAGGCAGATTTGCTTGTTTATATATGCAGAGCAGGCACCACATCAATAGAGCATTAGAAAAGACACATTTTGTAATTTCCTTACTCTCATTTGCTCTGTAAATATTGATGGTTTTCTTTATTACTCCAGTGTTTGAGGAGAACTGGTGCCTCATCATTTTTTGTCGATTGATTTTGCATTTGCAGGGATTCGGGAGGTTTACAGAGTGAATGAATGTCCTCGAATGAATGCACTTTGTATCCTTCTCATCCTCCTTTCCCAGGAGGAGTGGAGAAGAGAGGAGACTGCCAAACAAACCCCAGCTGTCCAGAAGTGTCATGGATGTTTTCAGGCTGGATAGTTTGAAAGCTCAAGTAGGCCTTCAATGACCAGATGAGAAATTCATGGCAGATTCAATATTATTTACACACATTGGTTCAAAAGACATATGAAGAGCTGAGGAGGAGATAGGTCTGAGATCTTCGAGCCTGATATGAGGTCAAAATCGAAGCCAAATTCCACTCCCTTGGGTTCTGTTATCGTTCACTGTAACTCGGTGAACACACACTGACCTCAACCTTGTGAAATCTCAGCAGCTCACCGCCTCCTTGTACATGCCTGGCAACAAAGTGGAACAGACTGCAGGGGTTTCAGAATGTGTTTTTAATAACTGAACTACTTTTAACTTGGCATGGCATCTGAAAACATGGCAGTCAGGACATGGGAGGCAACAGTCGAAGATGTTAGCTAGCACATGGGTTTACAGAAAAACATTAAAAAATAGGATGCAAGAATGTCTACCTTGAATGCAAAATGGAGTGCTTGTTTTATTTTAATTTTTTTATTAGGTGTTTTATTCAATTCTAAGATATCCCAACAGCACTAAAGAGTGTTTTAGTCTCACTTTATTGAATCTTGGAAACTTGTTGTATGATGTTTGATGGTTTGAAACTTACATATTCTAATTGTTTCGCCAGTTTAGGACAACTTTTTCTTCAGACTTTCACCTTCACTCAAACCAGTCTCATTTACAATAGTCTTTGATTCATCCACTGTCAAATTTCTCCCTTAGCACTGAATTTTCACGACGGCAAGGGGATATTTATTGCGTCTACTGGAGGAAACTAACAGATATCAAACCAGCGTGTCTTTCGGCTTCTAAGACTTGCAAATAGATACATTAATGCGTGTGGAAAGTGCAGGGCTATTTGCATTTAGATTTATCTTTCATTTTCATTGATCAACATTTTTCGCCTGCCTACTCGTTTGAGAGGTGAAATTTATGTATTTTTTTTTTTTTTCCCAAGATTCCTCTCTCTTGACTCCTGACAAAGACAGCAATGGACTGAAAAAAAAGACTTCTTGATGTACTATGTCATTTCAATGATGGATGAGATGTCCCTCTTGGGGAAAAACGTAACGAACGGATGAAAAAATTAGCACATGGGACTGAATTGATGTTGGACTGGCTCGTTTCAGACGTTGTAAATCAAACTGAATTGCTAATGCCTTTCTCTTAATAACCCACAACATGTGGTACATTTGAGCGCAAGATCGGCTATGTATCTTTGTTTCAGACCTCTTTCCACTGCTTGTGTGACACAAACTCATATAAATACAGAAAATGCATAAATTAAAGTGATGGTTCACCCAAAAATAAAGTTCTGTCATCATTTACTCACCCTTATTTCATTCTAAACCTGTATGACTTAATTTATTCTGTGCAACAATACAGTATTTTCTCCTTTTCTTTTTTGTTCACATAATGAAAATCAATGGAGGCCAATTGTGTTTCGAACTCAACTTATTTTCATTTTGTGTTCCACAGAAGAAAGAAAGTTATACAGGTTTGGAACAACATCAGGGTTAATAAACGATGAAGAATGTTCTTTGTTTGGGTGAACTATCCCTTTTAACTTATATCTTATGCATTTATACCACTTCCTGTCCCATAAGCAGTGGAATGAGGTCTGAAACAAAGATGCATACTCCCTTTAAGCGGAAAGCAACAGGTGACAGTCTTACCTTTTTATTTCATCTAGAGGCATACATATGGAAGGCAATGAAGATGCACAACATGGAAATGTGTTTCCAAATCTATTTTGTAGAAAAGCTTTCCACTTTTCTGATAAACACAGGCTTGCTTTTGACCTGACAATTCTGACAATGTGACATGTTTTGGCATGTACCTTAAATAACGGCTGTAATTTAGAGGTTTATATTGCTGTTGTTTTTGTATTGTACTGCCCCGGCTAATAATAGTAATCTGACACATCAATGCATGAATCCATCTGATTATTTTCTTCAGTCTGTGGTCTATTCTGGTGTGTGCACCCGCATGCCACTGCGACGTGTTAAAAGGCTGCGTGGTGGTTGTGCAGCTTGAATGAGAGTAGGAAAGGCTATTGTGCAGTGGACTAAATGCTTCTATTCTGCTGGCTGTGGTTTATGGCGTAATGGTAGACAGGGTCACATACTGGGCGTACGGAACGGCTCACTTTATTGGCAGGCCGGAAGAGACGAGGGGAGCTTGTCTCACACATAGCTGCTCTCCGGCTATGTGTGTGACCCCTTGACAGCGACACGCAGAACTGGACTGGCTGAGCGAGTATCATGGGTCAATGAGCCCAAAGGCAGGTCACTCAGACACACACTCTGGCACAAATGTATAGACACACACACACACAGAAATACCTGAGCGTGGATTGAGAAACACAAACTCTCCTACCTCTGTTTTCCAATCTCTCTCAGTCTTTTGTTCTCTTCTTTCTCTCTTAGTCAGCAGTTTTCCGTCAATGGCTTCTCAAAGCACGTGGGAGGTCATCGCGGGAATGGTTAGAAAACGTTTTAAGTGACTTTATGCAATTGAGGAAATAGCAGCTTCACAGGGATTACAAAATGCAAATGGTCTGCTGAGTGTGAAAGAGACCGTCTGGGGCGGCTCATTGTGGAGTATTATTGTACACTGGAATATATTAAGTGTAGGACTGTCAGTCAAATACATTTTAAAACAAATTAAATACATGATATGCAAATTAAATTAATCAAATTATTGACATAAATCAACGTTTGTTAAAAAAGCACCCAAATGATGTTTATTCAAATTGTGTAAGATGCATTAATGCATTAATCAATCACATTACAAAAAGTATTTTGAAAACAATATTTTTTTTTCTTTATTTTCATATAATTTCATAAAAGTTTATCACTGACTCTCTTTCCACAGAGTTTATCATTTCACGTGTTCTTGCATCCATCTTTATGCATCAGATTTGGTCGCTCATTACGATTAAGTCTAAAGGCCTGTTCACACCAAGGATGATATCTATATCGATAACAATAACTATAAAGTTTCAATTATCCTTCTAAAT